TATGGGTTTGTTACATACAAATCCCCGGAAGTCTAAATCTGTGTTTGTGAGACTGTCATCGGTACACTACAGTTTCAAGGTGAAAGCATTCCCCCATGATGTCGACTGCCTTCTTATATGATCTACGAAAAATACAACACAGATATGTTAAGGAGGTTTAAAAAAACAAAACAAACTTGATTTACATCAGAAGGATCTTTAAAAGTAACATGTTGATTAAACAGATGACAGACTGCATGAATTTACAGTGTCGTTCAAATGGCTTTATTAGTATAAAAAGAGATGCCAGTGAAACAGGTGTAATATTACTACGTAAAAACAGACTAAACACATTCCATGTGCAAAAATTAAAATGAAGACACATTCAATGACATATGCTCTTTGTAGGAAGATTCTTGACTCATGACATAAACATTTCACCAATTTGCTGTCGACAACGAACCCTTACAATGAATACAGCTGAGAGCAAACTTTCTTTGCTGAAACTCTGCAAATGTTGGTGTGATATTGTCAGAATCATATCAAGAGCCTGGTTTTCCAACATGGTCCAACAGCTTACCTAAAGGAATCTGATTCAAAGTGCCTCAGAAAGAGTACAGTAGCTTCAAGTAAATTGCTGTAATTACTATTTTTTTTAAAAAGAGAAAGAAAAGAAAAACCCTCAACACCCAGAAGTATGTGCAAAAGTATAGATTTTTTTTTTAACTAAACAGTTTAAATGGGCTACATGATAAATACACATTGGGACAGCTGAAAATGTGTTTTTCTCAAAAAACTGAGCAAATATGTGGCTCAAGTCAGCAGATCAAAGGGCTCATGTAGTTCAAATCAGGACAGTAACGCTGCCAAAGATTTTCCAAAGTAGGCAGGGTATTAATTGTAAGCTTCTTCAAACAGGTTAATGCACCCTGTTTGAGATGAGATTAACACTGGTTTACACCAACGTTCATATGTCCTGCGCTCACTCTTGTTAAATGCAATTGTGCTCATATTACAAATGGTCCTGGAGACGGCCGAACAATTATTGATTTCAAATCAAAATTGAAACAATGCAATTTGCGAATTGCAAAGGCTACAATTTACATTACCAGTACGCAGCACATCTGACCCAGGATTGAAATGGTTACATCAGTGCCTTTACAAATTCATGCTGTCCTCCTTGTATGACACTAACGCTATGGGGGGTGTCTCATGTGGTAATGCTCATTCACATGTTTTAAATCTGGTACAAAGTGATATTCAACTTTGTCAGAAAAAAAGTCACAATTAGATATTTTCCCCTAATCATTAAACCCCAGTCCTGAAGCTGTGAAACATTGTCCAAGTATACAGCATGTCCAGTACAAAACACACGATAAAACAGGTTTATACTGACAATTGATTAATGAAGGCAAAAGTTTGAAAATGGTATGTAAAATTCCCCAGAGCCAAAAATAAGACAGTGTTGAGTTTTCCAAAGCCCTGCATAACCTGTGATGACTGACAGTGACACAGGAGGAATAATCTGAGTTGTAGCTTTGCTTGGCCTCAGAAACCTGAGGCGACACTAAACGCATTTATTGCAGGACAGTAAAGACCTAAAAAGCTAGAGTGTAGATGCTAATTGTGTGGGTTTTCAAACCAGTGTGGAGTGAATGCAGGAATGGCAGAGTGAACTAAAATGAAATTGTAGTATATCTGGACACAGGACGCCGGTCTACAGGGAGGAGGTATCTCGAGGCATAAGTTGCAGACCGTTGCTGACCTGGAAGCGAGTTTCATCTGATATACCGTATTGCTCCAAGGGATCCTGTGGAGAAAAGCAGGTGGTGAGAACAGACAAAAAAAAACAGCACACAGAGTAAATTCACTGTTACTGAAGGAGGTTGGTTCACCAAAATCACACACCAAGATAACAAGGAAGTATTTTATTCTCAGTGGTGTCAGTGAACTTTCCCCACTGGGGGACCAATAAAGTTATCTTTATCTTTATCTTCTCATGCTTAAGGTCTGGCTTTGATCTAAATTTCCAAGACGTCTGCCGTCACTCTAGCACAGGACGTGATTTCAGTTGTCACTCTTACTACTCTGACTATTTACATTTATCATCACCCCGTTCAAAGGCTCAAGAAAGAATTGTCAAAGAACATCCTGAAGAATCATCCTGAGTGACCAGGCAGTGAAGATGCAGCGATAGTTGGAATTTTTCTGTCACATGTCCTTCAGTGTGCTAACAATGACCTTACATTGCAGCAGAGCTCTGGCAACGCTGCCGAAACACACCTCAGCTGCCTTCCTTCATTTACCAACCCTGCTATCTTCGACAGATATTATGCACTTCAACGTCTGAGCACGGCACAGAACCCTGCCAGTGTAATCCACACTGTAAGCGTTCCCGTGGTGTGACACAGTTGATTAGAAGCATCATCTGTGTGGCATTTAGTGCGCTGACATGCTGCAGTGAGGGGGTCTCACCTTCCCAGTGAGCCTGTGGATTTCAGTCCGATAGAATATAAGGTTCTTCCTCATGAACTCATAACTGCAAGAGATGAGACAATAAATGCATTTAGGTGGATAATAAGCTTCGAGAACAACACAGTGAAGATTAGGGCTGTAACGGTCGTGTCATTTCAGTCGACAATTAAATGTCATTCAAATAACTGTGTTTAATTATTTGCCCTTTTCTACTCATATTATGCTTCTATAACAGTAGAAGCCTAATAATAGTTTGACAGCCTGGTTTTTTTCTGCTTCTGTCACATTTCTACTCACAGTTGGATAATTCTTTACTGCAATAAAGGGTCATTACAAAGTCTTACACCTCTATAGAAACAGAAGGTTAGAAGTAGAAAGAACTCAACAATGGCTTTTGCACAGTATAACAAAGTCATAACGCCATAAATTGAAAAATTGAAGAAAAAACAACTATTGAATTTCTTAGATTATTTATTTCAGGAAGAATAAGAGAACATCAACTCAACATCCACAATATTTTTCCAGTTGCCCACAGGTGTTACCAATACTGGAAAAATAATGGGAGCTCCACATACTGTATATATTTTACTACTTAGATTTTTAATGTTTTCATACTTGTATTTTACCTACATGTTCCCATCTGCTATGTGAAAACATTGTGTGCAGGTCAGGAAAGTAGTCCCTGAATTTTTGCCACATCTGTACATTGCAGCAGAGTCACAAATGACTTTTGAATTAATGCAAACACTTTATTTTAGGCAAATTTTCAAATGAGACATGTTGAATAAAGGGATTTTTTTTTAACTACCATGATTTTAATCTTATATTTGACCATTTTTTTTTCTGATGGAAAAGCATATTACAGATGAGTAGTTGAAAAGTAGTAGAAAGTCTAGAATTTGATTTTTTTTTTCCTCTCTCTCTCTTTCAGTTTCTGGCTCTGATAAATGGTGTAATTTTGGTGAATTTTAAAGCGATAACATGCCTCAACTGTTGGTAGCTCTAATTCTAAACTCAAGTGCTATTAAATCACAGCTGAAAAAGAGGGCACAAGGATATGACATCATTAAAAAACCACCAGTCAAAACCCGATCTGACAAATGATGTGGAAATAGTGATGGTAATATAATATTTCTGCTAGTTTCGTACAAGTAAATGGAAATGATTCTTATAATGACTACGCAAAATGGTCACGGTAGGCTGAAATGATCCCGATCAAGTGATTATGTAAAAGTTGTAAGCGAGCTAGCTGGAACTAGACTTTTATCAGCAAGTCTTTTTTTGTGTGTTTTGATTTTTTTCAACCAGCCTTTATGAGTTAAATACTGTCCTAATACAGAACATCCTGGCATATGTGCAAAATTAAAGCGTCATTTCCACCCAGAAAGCACTCAGTGAGCTTTGGCTGTGTGTTGGTTGTCGACTGTTGCTGAGCTTCGCTGAACCATGCTAGCCAGATCAGCGCAGCTCACTTAGCAGCATGATCAGAAAACACAAATGAGAACCGCTAAGATCCTTCATTTAATCTCCTGTTTGGGAGCATTGTGTTTTCCAAGTAAGCTTGAACACAGCACCAGGGAAAGTAGTGATGGATCAGCTGAAAGCCACTCAGCAGAACTCACACTGCTGACATTGTGCATATGGAAAAAGCAAAATCATTTGTAACGGATTCACCCATGTGAGTCTATTACCGGCGGCTAAAACACAACTTCTGGAACAAGTTGCTCTCACCACAGTATTCGTATTGCATCCAACAGCAGATATAGACAGGCAACAGATAAGTGAACACACTCAGCTGTAGAGAACACAGTCCTTCACATGACCACAGCTTTGTAATTAAGTTGGAACAATACTGACACAATGTCTTTTTCATTTCGACTTAATGGTCACATGCAGAAAACACTATGGCTCAGTGTTTACTTGTCTACATTTTTAAAAATGTATGGAAGTCAACTTTATTTTTGTTTGCAATTATTTGTACTTTTAATAGATACATAATGTAATATATAAGATGTCAAAAGCACAGATGGATGAGCTTCTCAATCTTGCACCTCCAGTAACTTCTTAAATTGCACGGCTTGACCAACATCCATGTAACAGCAACATATTCTGACACGCTTCTAGCTGATAGATGACAACATCACAAAGTGGTTTTTTGACATTTCTGAGTTATTTTTTCTCAGTTCATGAACTCATCATTGATAGGTCTTTGAGCAACCCTTTATGTCCGATGTAATGAGAGGGAGAAAAAAAACTAATCAGTCCTACCTCGCTTTGATGATGGAGTCTATCCACTCCCCACACTGCTCCTCAGAGTCACACTCAAACAGATACTTCCTCTCTGCTTCATCCAGAAACGCTACGTAGACAAACACATGGCGTTAACTTAAATACACATGAAGCAAAGCACAAACACAAACGTTAACATAACGTCATAAGAAATGGGCTTTGCCTTGCTGTTCAGTTACATGTTAAGTGCAGTTTAAATGGTGTCAGCACAGACATGTAAACTCACTGATCTTTACTGTCTGACAAAACCTGAAACCAGCCATGAGGTGAGACAATGTGCGTTAATTTAGTGGTTGATGGATTATTATTATTATTTTAATTGATTCCCAATAAAATAAGTCAAATATAGAAATTTGCCCCTGCCTTCGCCCTAAGTCAGCTGGGATAGGCTCCAGCCCCCCCGCGACCCTAGTGAGGATTAAGCGGTGTATAGATAATGGATGGATGGATAGAAATTTGCTATATTGGTTCTGATGCAGCTCTCTCTCTATAAATTCCTCTCATTTCACTATTTTCAGTCTGCTTGTCTCTTATGTCTTCTGTCCTCCTGCCGGTGACTCATCTTGTCGTGCAATCACTGAGGATGTCTGAGGAGGTCTGAGCTATGAGCGACGATGCACAGGTACGTCCTCGATGCATTGTCGATGGAGATTTTTCCGCATCCGTGAAATATAAGAGGTGTGACACACAGTTGCAGTAAACAAACCATGTAAGGAGCGGGATTTACAAGGTGCCTGTGTACGCTACATTATTAACGTCACTCAATCAGAGCTGATGTCACATTGTATTTGTACAGTGCTATTTTGTGTGTCACGCCTACTGCATGCTTCACTGTACGTGTGTGTTAAGGGAGGTGTCTGTTGTCACTGCTCTGTGATCTCGAGCCATGTTCCACCTACAGCACTGGTTTACTGGTCACACGTCATGAGCAGTAGCCTACCAACAATCAATGCTGAAAAGCTCTTGTTTAATTAAACTGCTGTAAAACATAAGTTTGGGTCCTTCTGAAATTATGACACCAGGATTTTCATTTTTACTACAAATGAACATCAGTTTCTTGATGCCTATCAGCCCTGAAAAAACAACAACATGGGACCTTTTGGTTAGTTGGTGTCAACTGGAGATCTGTGAGGATGCTCACCAATAGAGAAGGTCTGGCTGTCCTCCTTCTCCACCCGACACTGCTCCAACAGCAAAGCTCCAATTGGCTGACAAAAAAACATAATGACTTAATTTAGATTCAATCTTTTGTTGTCCTTCACAAGTAACGTGTTTCATTAAAACCATGAGGTGCAGGGAAGCTGTGAAACACCTCAAAGAAATGCTGTGTGAATAGATGCAGCATGGACTGGTGTGAAAAAAACTGACTCAACTGACCTCTTCCTCATCTGTCCGGAAATAAAAGAGGAAGTTGACGACGAGTTTGACCAGCCTCTTCTTCACAACTGTGTCACAACGAAAGTGAAATGAGAGCTTGACAACACAGACAGTACAGTGCAGCTGAGTGGCATAAACTTTCTGCTAGCTCTTAGCATTAGCTGCTGCCCAACATTCACAAAATGGAAAGTAGTAAACCCGCCGTACCGTCTCCTTTCTTTGGACCCCTCATGCCCAGTTCAGCTGCCATCTCTGAGGGCTGGCGGCTCAGAGACACCAGCTCCTTCTCGTTGAAACGCATCACGGCCACTGACGCAGATACACACCGTTTGGACGCAGACGGACACTGTGGCTACGGTTGACCCGTTTCCCCGACAGAAAACATGACAATAGCGCTGGCTAACAGTAGTGAAATGTGTCGTTTGTACCGTCCGGTTCGCTGCTTCGTTATCTGATGTCGTCGAAATGTGACGGAGGGTCTTTGGTCATTTCTGCGCTCGAGTGAATACGGTGTTCTCCTTCATGCTACACACCGGACACACACACACTCTCCTCTCGGTTTGGCAGTAGCAATACTCCTCGCTGGTAAGTGTACGGTGGCCGGTGAGGCTCAAACGAGGCGGGCAGCTTTATCAATAGTGAATCGCAGTTGCATCAGGAGAGATAGATTCATAACTATAATAGATATTTATAAATAAAACAAAGACAAAAAGCTATCTAAAAATATAACATAATAGAATCTCTAGGGAGATAATGGTTATCGCCTGTTTGGCTGTTGAGGGTCAGTCCAGGAGGTGGCGATAGCAAGTTTGAAGAAGAAGGAAAAAAATACCCGAAGAAGTCAATGACGCATGCGCAACACGTAACTATATTTGCGTGCGCCTGACGTTGAGGAGTTGGTGAGTGTTTTGAACAATATCTCGTTATTTCAACCTTTTCGTTTTCACAAGTATCTAATGTTATTACATACACGGATCTAGCGTTATTTCCTTTGTAGTTTGGTCATTTATGTTCATTATAAGCCATGTGTTACTAGCTGGAAACACCTTTAGCTTAGCAGTAGCATTGCCACAATGCATTCAGTAGCTAACATTACTCTATGCTAACATGCTAACTGGACGTTGGAGGGATCATTCATTAAAGTCTATTCGTTTTGGAGTGGTATATATTTTCCTTTTGTGCCGTTTGGATTTATTTCAAGTAAATCAGAAATATTTGCCTACGTGAATGTATATTGTGGTGTACCCTCTCAGTCATTACACTGCTGGCTTGCAAGGGAAGTGAGCGTATAGACATTTGGGTCAAGAGGGGTTTGAAGATGTGTTGTTTTTAAAGAATGAACTACAACCCAGACCTGTTGCAGTGTCGAAGTTTATATAATGTGTATGTGTAAGGCTTGCTATATAGCTGAAAATATATCACTGTGAAATGTTTTATTTCAGTCGATATTGATAATTATATCTAATTTCTTCTAATATCAACCTGTTAGAAAAAATATGTTTCATTATAATTTGGACCACCATACTTTGAATTCAGCAAGTTAGCCTGTGCATTTAGATACACGTATAGCAACTTTAATGTTAAAATAACAGTGGTAAACACACACATCAGTAGTACCCACTCAAAAAATAAATAAGGACAAAGGAATCATCTCACCTTGATAGTCAATAAGTGAACAAAGCAAATAAAATGTGGAAATGCAGAGAGGGTGACGAGGGAGGGTGCGTTGCTTAGGTGGATGGGCAACCATCGGTTGCTGCTGGCCACAGCCTCCTCTAGGTGAGGTCTGCAAGGGTGAACAGGGGTGGCGGGAGGCCCAGGCAGCTGGGGATGAGTACACTTTGGAACGTCTGCCTGAATGCCATGGGAAAGTGTTGAAACGCAAGGGGCCTTCACTGTGTCAGCACATGATAGGCTGTTTATGAGCCAGGGAGGAAGCATGCTTGGGATTTGTTCATGCAACTAAACTTTGTTTTCTTTATGTGCTGTCACAGTGGATCGCACCAAATACATTTAAGTGAAGCTATCAAGCATTCTTTTGAACAGTTATCTCCTTGCAATTGATGAAGTGTCTATTGTCTGTACATCGTTCTATTGTTTTATGTTCCAGGCCGAACACAGGGTATACAATGAATGAACATAAGTCAAGAATCTAGTTTGTTATTTAAGCAATAAAAAAATCAATTTGAATTTACTGTGTCAAGTTAGTAGCATAGATGACACACAAATGGTACTTTAACTCCACCGTGCTGTGCCATAATCTAGACGTACACAATGCAATCATAACAATATATGTTGTTCATTTTTTCCATATTTGACAACTGTTTGTATTTTATTTTTTCTCCCAGATAGGAAGGATCTGTTCGGAGTGCCTGTCCAGTTCTGACTGGATACCCAGGTGTAGGTGAGTCTGCGTGATCGATCCATCACCTTGCAAACATGGATTTCCAGCATCGAGCTGGAGGGAAGACGGGGAGCGGTGGGGTGGCATCTGCCTCTGAGAGTAACAGAGACAGGCGAGAGCGGTTACGTCAGCTGGCCCTGGAGACCATTGACATCAACAAAGACCCCTATTTTATGAAGAATCACTTAGGATCATACGAGTGCAAACTTTGTCTGACACTTCACAACAATGAGGTGAGTAGGCTCATAAGGAAAATGTACTACATTGTGTTGTCTGCACTTGATGGTATTTCAGTGTCTTGTTTCAAAAAGAAAAAATATAAACTGCCCTTTTATGCATTACAGGGCAGCTACTTGGCTCACACGCAAGGAAAGAAACATCAGACCAACTTGTAAGTCCACAACTTGTTGATACTCCAACATGTCACAGACAGAAGTGCAAGAGCTGTTGCTTTTTCTGTTACTTTTTGGTTCTCTTGAAATGATGTTTTTAACGTAACTGTGCACTGAGATGTATTTGTTGTTATGTAAATATGACTGACATAACATCTTTTGGTGAAACTTGCCTGCTTGAATGAAACATGGTACATGCAAAATTCAAGTGCAGTGACTAAGTTGTTCCTCGTGTTTCTAATGCAAGGCAAACAGTACTTGGTTGCTACAGAATGTTTGTTCAGCTCAAACTAACTTTAGCTTTGCTTGCCCCAGCAACAGTGGGGTGTTTTCTGTTTGAATATGTGGCTATTAACAGCCCATGGTATCCATTGTGGGTTTTTTATAAATAAATATCTTAATATTTTGTGTGTTTCAGAGCACGGAGAGCAGCTAAAGAGGCGAAGGAAGCTCCTGCTCAACCAGCTCCAGCGAAAGTTAAAGTTGAAGTCAAGAAGTTTGTCAAAATTGGTCGACCAGGATACAAGGGTAGGCTCGCTGTATTGTTACATATCAGTGCAGTCATTATGTAGTTTGTGATGATCGTAGTTTGACTGCAGATGTATTTTATTTTAATGTGTGGTCAATTTCTTTCTTTTCTTTTCTTTTCTCTTTTATAGTGACCAAACAGAGAGATCCAGAGACTGGACAGCAGTCTTTACTTTTCCAGGTTAGTGCGTTCAGTGAGAATTACTGTGTGAAATGTGTTAAACTGTGGAACAAAAATAAATATGTTCCAAAAACAAAATAGCTGTGTTGTTTTTCTAACTTCTCCATCGCCGCTAATTCAAGCCTGGCAATATACTTCTGACAATGTCCAGTACTCACTGTTTTTTTTGTGGGCATCTATTCTTTATGAGGTGCTGGGTAGCTTGTGATTCACAGCCAAGCAGGTGTTGTTGACAAGTTTGGCTTTGTATTCCACACTTAAATCCCACTTATTTTTGGTTACTTGTTACTCAAATAGTGAATGTAGCTGTGTACTGAAATAGGGTCACAGATACAAAGCAGCACTTCATGCTCTCACCTATAAAGTTCTTTAATGCCACAGTAATGACAAAATGTTAATTCTAGCCATTGTCATCTGACTGTTAAAGACACTTGCTGTAAAACCATTTTCTTATCTCTGTCCTTTAGATTGACTATCCAGAGGTCGCTGAAGGAATTGGACCCAGGCACCGCTTCATGTCTGCCTATGAACAGCGCATCGAGCCCCCTGATCGTCGCTGGCAGTACCTGCTGTTGGCTGCTGAACCGTATGAGACCATAGCCTTCAAAGTGAGTTGGATCTGCACTTTCATTGTGCCTGTACAGTGTAATGGTGGTGTCTGCTGCAATGTTATATCGAATTGTATGCTCTTGTAGGTTCCCAGTAGAGAAATTGATAAAGCAGAAAACCGCTTCTGGACTCACTGGAACAGAGAAACTAAACAGGTATTGATAATATGAAGCTTTAGTAATCACAAAGTCACCCTTTTTCATCAGAAGAAATATGTTACAAGCTTTCTTTTATGTCATTTCCTCTCCCAGTTCTTTCTACAATTCCACTTCAAAATGGAGAAAGCTCTTCCCCCGTCCGGTGGTCCAGCACCTCCTACCAGCGTGAAGCGCCCCCCTCCTCTGATGAGTGGTGTTGGACCTCGCCCACCAAACGACAGTCTGCCTCCTCCCCCACCTGGAGGGATGCCTGTGCCTCCCCTCCCACCTGGTGCACCAGGTGCCCCCCAGATGCCCCCTCAGATGCCCATGCCCCCCATGCCAATGAGGCCGCCCCCTCCAGAGGGCCTTGGAATGTCTAATAATTGATCATCTGTTAGAAATGTATGATTCTGTCATTGTGTGCGATCACACTGCCCTGCCTGTCAGCCACAGTGTCAACCTCCCTTTGGATATTACAGGTATATTCAGTTTAATTATTTCTACAGCTGCTTAAAGTCCCCATTTGTTAGGTTTTTATGCATTTCTTTGGTTTATTTGAACGTGTAGGGCAGTGTGTTGTTGCACCAGTATAAATTTGACCACACTCTTTTGTATTAAAGTCTAGGTTGTGGATATGGAGCTACGACTGGTAGCTCGTCTTTTAAGATGTTTTTGTAATTAAAAGCTGTAGAGAAACAGGAAACGTTTGTGTCTGTGCTTTTGCATCGAATCACACAGAATGATTTATTGACAGTTCCTGCACCATCTAAGCTCAAGGTTACTGATCGGGATAAAAGCTTGAATTAGCTGAAGAGACAACCCTTTAACTAGGCTCTCTGAAGCAGCTCTTAAACAATAAAAAGGCTAAATTGGACAAACGACTGATAATCCTTACTCTTAACCTCTTCAAAGTACATACTGTTGACATTTAGCCAAGCTTGAATGGACACAGTTTATTAGATGTCTTATGTCGCTCAACATCCAAAAAAAAAAAATAACCAAATGATCACATAAACATTTTCAATAAAGCGGTTAAAACAATAAATTTCATTAAATTGCAGTTGCCCTCATCAGTAATCCAAAGCTCCATCACACACAAGTCGCATTTGACCAGGAGAGCAACACAGAGCTGCAACACAACACTGCTGATTCTGTTCTGCCATGTAGCTGTAAGCACACATTGTAGAAGCTCAGTAGTTCTTATTTAGTTTGATGGACAAAATTATGATTTTTAAATAGATGTTACCAAATCACTTCAGCTGAAGAATGTTTAGAAAATACTTTCTATAAAATCCGCCACGCTAGAAAGAATCCACTCATCCTTTTTGAGTCTTTTTCTTCGCTCTCTTTTCTTCCGCTTTCTTATTTTTCTTGGGAACTATCTCATCCTCTCCTTCATCCTCGTCCGCCTCTTCTTCATCTGCTTCTTCTTCTGGGTCTTCCTTTTTAGCTCTCTTTTTTTTGTCTTTGATTTCTTCATCTCTGGCCTTCTTGGCTCTCTTGTCCTTTTGCTTTCCGTCTCTTTGCTTCATGAGTTTTTTGTCTGGCAGTGGCTTGTTTCTGACGCCTCTTGATGATTGTGCTTCTCTCTTCGATTTTCCTTTTTTGACCCGTCCGTCACTATCGTCCTCTTCGTCTTCGTCCTCTTCATCGTCAAGATCTGGAAGCCACCAAAACATGACTTCCCACAAAGATGCTTCAGGCTACAGAGGGGAGAACAGTAATAAAAACTGTTGGATAAGTTCAGCTGTCTATCTTATAATTGGTGGGTTTAAACAACAAAAATCCAAAAAGCGTACAATAAACCACTAAGAAACCCCAGTTTACCTCTGATGGCTGCCCTCTGTGTCTCAGTGGCCCTGACCGTCTCATCGTCAGTCCAACTTCTTCCTCCTCCACCTCTACCATCCCCGGACCCCCACGTAAGGCTTCTGTTTTAGAAAAGAACACTAAGTCACAGCAGCCACATTTTTGAGATCTGAAGTTTGTTGACTCGTTTACTTGCCGTTCAGCTTTTGAAGGCCTGAGGTGAGCACCAGGATGGTGATGGCCACAAACAGACAGCGGTTCAGAGTGACATTCTCCCACGGTTTATCGACGTCAGTCAGATTCTGGATGGACAAGGCTTTGTGCAGAGGGGCTGAAGAAAAGATTTTTTTTTTTAAATGAAGGGAAAACTTGTGGCGACCACATGTTGCATTTAAATGTGACTGCAGAATTGACTCACCTGTTCTAGGAAAGCTGTGTTCTCTGGGTAAAGTCTTGGGTTCTGTTCTCGGTTGCTGTGGAACTGGAGCCGCTTCCTGTTGGAGAAAAACATGTAGCTTACTAGGAAAAGATAATAGGCCTGCCTGCTAGTGCGGCTGTAATTTGTTTTTCAACTAACCTCTTTGATTTTCCTAGTAGGATACATTTCTGGAACAGACAGATGGAGATTTAGTGAAGGAGGGTTTCATAAAACAAAAAACCACAAACAACCATGCTCCCAATCTGGAATTTATGCATCAACATTTTATTCATGAACTCACGTTGGCTGAATATGTGTTTAAAATACAATTCTGCTGTGCCAAAGTTTACAATAAGGCCATTAAAATTAATATCGCCATGCAAGCGACCGTGCCAGACTCTCCTTTGAGACAGTGGTGCTTTGAGCTAAATGCTAAAATTGAGCAGGTAGGCAGTAATGTTTACTATATCAGTGTGGACTAAAGTGGTGGCGAATAAGAACACATTTCCCACTTGGTTGTTTTTAGAGTTTTAAGAGCTCACAAGCTTACTACAGCCCACTGCATAGTGAAGTGCTCCATCCAGCATGGCTCACGTTCATTATCACCGCATCGCCCTCGACCAGGAGTCAGATTTCAGCGGCTCCCTGTGCTGTTGCTCCCAGGTATTTATAGAGTCGTACAATATACATGGTATTTATGTGCCGGCATTACAGATTCAGTGTGCTTGTATGTGTGCCGCCACCTGGTCTGCGGATCTGTCGAACAGGCTTCTGTGGAGGAGGTTCTGTTTTCGGTGGCCATAACTCCTCCTCAAATGTCTCATAGCTTTCCTCCATTCCTTCCCTGACAGAGAAAGAGAGAGAGAGAGGGAAGGAGGGAGATGGAAGTAGCTCAACATTAAGATTTTAAATGACAGGAGATTTAGAAACGTGCATGTCAAGCAAGGCCACAGATCAACTTATGGATTGTTGGTATTCTTTAGATGATGCCTTTTCTTGCCTGCTGTTAAGATTTAGCGAGATGATTCAGCAGCTCTTAATGCCATTACAGCTCAACTTATTGGTATTCCTCTTCACTCGGAAGAAAGTTTTTTTTCCCCCCCAGTGTCTCATCAGCATTCAATTTTGGCTGCACAAAATGATACAAGTAAAAGGTCAATTTCTCTACTTTATGAATGAAATTGAAGCAGTTTCCTGACCTTCACATTTACAGATGAATACTGCGAGGCCCTTATGTCTTACATGACATTTCTAAACGGGCACCGAGCTAATGTCCTTGCAGCCCTATAAATAGATGAAGCAATGCCACCGGAAAGACAGATGGATACGCGCCATATAAACACACAAAAACAAAAGGCTTGACATTACTATTATTTCTTTGACTGCTAACCTCTTCTTACGTTCAAGCCTTAACCTTTGACCCCGATTGAAATAAGGACCTACCTGAATCGACATTTGGGCTCCCCTGGGCAGCGACGGGGAAACCTTTGTCACAGAGCCGTTGTTCCTCTTCAGAGATGGCTGCAGAGTCACACACTGAACTTTTTGACAGTCAAGCACAGGTGCTGGGAAATGAAAAAAACAAAAAGCCATTGAGTGTCAGTGAGAGGCGTTGACTGAGGAAAGATTGACATGACCATATCTGATCCAGCTGTCAGATCCCAGAGTTACAATGCATGTATTCCAGAGATTTTATATTTTAAACACTGGTTTTGTTTTTGGGGGGTTTTTTTGGCACTTTTTAAACAGATGTCTAAAAAGTGACACAAATGAAAGACATTTTATTTTAATAGTCACTGTGTGCTTTCTAGTAAAAACACAATGCAAATCCCAAAGGCCACAATTTAAGATACACGTCTTGCAAATGTGTCCGACCCAGTTTTTACACTGTTATGTCAATGCTTTTAAAAATCCACGCCGTTCTCTTTGTGTGACAGTCACGCTCCTGATGGTATCTCATGTGGTAATGCTCCAGCTGCATGCTTTCAATCCATCACATAATGAAAGCTGAAAATGACATCGCAAATCCAATCGCAATTACAATATCTATCTGAAAAATCACAACTAAATATTTTCAGTCAGCCCTAACGCTTTCCAAGTGTTTGATAGAAACAGCTTGGATCTCATGTGGATTATTGACCAGCAGAGAGCGCCACTGTTCTTGGGAGATGGCGTTTGAGGCTCCACAGATGGAGTCGGTGGTCCTGTCAGACGGACTATCCGTCACACAGATTAACAAAGAGGCTGACACATTTCATTTTATGAGCTGACCAACAGCTGCTATATGAAGCACACAACATAAACACAAACATATAGTCTCATAACATTGGGTTTCTGTTGATGCTTCTGTGCATCTTTCCTCATTTTTCCTTCTTTACTCATTGAATGAGACAAGTGAGGACTGTCATACTGTGTGTGTTGCGGAGCCCTGGAGCAAGCTCACCGCTTTACATGATGTCGAGGCCGCTAACGAGAAGCTACGTGAACAGATGTAAAAATGATTGGGTTATATCAGGGTGAGGTGGTTGCAGGCCACCTTTTATGTGGGAGGGGAGAGGAAGTGTTGATAAACAGACTTGTGGCGATGTCGATGACTCATACCTTTGCTGGTGCTCTGCCCAGTTCCAGCTGAATCACACGCGTCGCTGTACCCATCAGTGATCAGAATTGGACATTAGTTCTGTGACCTTTGATGCGAGTAGACTGACCACAAGGAAGCGGGGATGCACCCAGGCTGGTGTCATGTGGCATAATGTACAAACAGTGACACGGCCAACTTGTGTCTGCAGGGAGCCTTGTTTTCTGGCTTTTCATCCAGTGTGAGGTCAAAGTCTAAAGTTGTTCAGTATTTTGGTTTTATGACCAAATACCAGCAAAAAAACTGCCATCTGTTTGTAATGCTTACTAACAAACAGCTTTCAAACACATGAGACAAAGATGGCAAATATGGTGACTATGATACATGCTAAAGATCAACATTTAGCTCAAAATATAGCCTCGGTCTTAGTCTTCTTACTCAACATTTACTCTGAATAGATAAAGAAACGTCTGTCATTTGTATATACTATTCATCTATACCGACATTGTAATAATTACTGTAAAAATGCATCTGATGCTGGTTTTGGAGCATTAACAGAAAGCCCTGTAAAAACTGAAGGTTCAGTTGACAAAGCACAGTTCAGAAAAAGTAACTTGATTTATGCAGTTAAGATAAGATAATACAGAACTTTTTTTGATCCCAAAGAAACGTTTTCTGCCAATAAGTAGAATGGGCAATTCCTGGAGAAACCTGTAGCCATATGCTCAAAGGACACCCACTCCACCACCCTGAGACACAGCCACCACTAAGAAAAACTTCAAGTGACTTTACTTTAAGAGCATTTTTACAGTGTTTCACATTAAAACATGAAATAATTTTCCATTGTTTTCTAAAATATACTTAATAGAGGGCTGCAGGGTGGCGCAGTTGGTAGCAC